CCAAATTTAAGTATTCCCAATAAATTTAGTATTGTCTGAGGAGCTCATTAAAATTGCAAATTTAAAATAATGAATTATTCTGAAGGACAAAATTGATTAATTTAACGATTAGTCAAAATTTATGTTAAATTTAGAAGAATTACAAGTGAATTTTATATTAGTCATAGTATATTTTAAGCAAATTTTACTTAACATTACTTGAATAGCCTGAAGAGCTCATTAAAATGCGTTTCGAGAATCATATATATGTGGGGTGCAAAATTTTTACAAAATATATAATTTCTCATGAAAGAAGTAAAATTTTAGAAATTGACGTATGTAATATTATTATATATGTAATAAAGTATTTTTGAGTGAAATTTTATTTTTGAAATGTAACCGGTGTGGTCTGAAGAGCTCTCTGATAGAACACCTGACTCTAGAATTAATTTTTGCACATTTAAAAAGCTCGTAAGACCGCGCCGTTAATATTTAAAAAATGAAATTTGACAAAAATTATCTTTAAGATATAAGTAATAAAATGGCATTTAAAATTTTCTAAAATTTAGATCGGATTTGGAGTAAAAAAATATTTTCTAAAATGTGCTCCCGCACTAATATGAGACTCATGTAGTGAAATAACTTCTTTAGGCAATTTTTGTATAAAAACGTATTTTCAAATAGCTCTACAGACCGCACCTTTTATAGTTAAGAAATGAAATTTTACTCGAATAATCTTTAACATAAAAATAATAAAATGGCATTTAAAATTTTCTAAAATTCATCTTGATTTTAGAGTAAAATATTATTTTATGCAAATGTGCTCTCTCACTAATATGAGACTCATGCAGTGAAATAACTTCTAAGCAATTTTTGTATACAAAAGTATTTTCAAAGAGCTCTTCAGACCGTACGGTTTATACTTAAGAAATAAAATTTTACTCAAATAATTTTTAACATATAAATAATAAAATGGCATTTAAAAATTTCTAAAACTTAGCTCGGTTTTGGAATAAAAAAATATTTTATGAAAATGTGCTCCCGCACTAATATGGGACTTATGTATTGAAATAATTCCTCAAGGAATTTTTGTATAAAAACGTTTTTCCAAAGAGCTCTACAGACCGCACTGTTTATACTCAAGAAATAAAATTTTACTCAAATAATCTTTAACATATAAATAATAATATGGCATTTAAAATTTTCTAAAATTTCACTCGGTTTTGGGGTAATAAATAATTTTATGATTATATGCTCCCGCACTAATATGAGACTTATGTAGAGAAATAACTTATTTAAGCAATTTTTTTATAAAAAGGTGTTTTCAAAGAGCTCTTCAGACCGTACCGTTTATAGTTAAGAAATAAAATTTCACTCAAATATTCTTTAATATAAAAGTAAAAAAATAGCATTTAAAATTTTCCAAAATTTCACACGGTTTTGGAGTAAAACATTATTTATGAGAATGTGCTCCCGCACTAATATCAGACATGTATAGTGAAATAACTTCTTTAAGCAATTTTTGTATAAAAACGTATTTTTAAAGAGCTCTACAGACCACACCGTTCATAGTTAAGAAATAAAATTTTAGTCAAGTAATCTTTAACATATAAGTAATAAAATGGCATTCAAAAAAATCCAAAATTTTACTTAATTTTTGAGTAAAAATTAATTTTATAAAAATATGCACTGACACTAATATTTCCTTTTTACGCAGCAAAAATTCAATTTATTTTATATTGTTTATAAAATATGCAATAACCATTTTGTTTTTATTAAATTTAATCATAATGGTCAATTTGTATTTCATAAAATGTGCAAAATTATTTATGATTGCATACGATTTCTATGAAATTATACATTGTTATTTGTGACAAACATGCAACCTGAATTGTAATGGATTTATATATATATATATATATATATATATATATATATATATGTATATATATATATATATATATAAACTATCAAGATATATATATATATATATATAATAAACTATATTTTCAATTCAGAAATATTTGTTTATAATTATATAAACAATTTTAATTGCATCGAAAGTTTGCGTCATACAATTGTAAAAATGTATGAAATTAATTTAAGTGCAAAAACGCACTTGCATTTTTTTTAGTTTTGGTTATATTATATAACTTTTTATAAAGTTAAGATAGAAAAATATTATCTGAAGAAAGTTAATTAAGGATAAAATTTTCTTTAAATTTATAAGAATATAAATTTTATGGCATTTTTTATATTAATTTTATGGTCAATGAAACACGGAGTAAATAAAGTTGTAAAAATGTATGGAATAACTTGTACGTTTTTTGATTTTATTAATGTAATTTTTTATATATTCAAGTTAGATAAATATTATTTAAGAAGCATTTGTCGATAATAAAATTATCTTTAAATTGACATCAATAATATTTTTTTTATAAAAAATCTCAGTTGTGAAAAAAATAATAAGAACCATAAAAATTTTATTTGTTGTTGTTTTTGCTCAAAATAGACTAATATTACTTTAAGAAGATTAGTATAATAAATTGGTATAATTAAAATTTTTTTAAAGACTCAAAATTAATTTTTAAAAATAGTATTACCAGAAATATAAAACAACCTTCACCAAAGAAAAAACAAAAAGACAAAATCATAAAGAAAAGTCCCAAAGACAAAAAATTAAAGACAAGCAACCAGAAAAAAATATAAACAAAAATAAGATATAGAATTTATTTACAAGATATTTATATAAATATATAACTTATAAGACTACAAACCACAGAATAATAATAATAAAAATACAATAAAAAAAAATAGTTTCATTCTTAGCAAGAATTTGTCAAAAATTCCAATTGACATAATATATATGTATATATAATAATAATAAATATAATACATTTTATTTTATATATACTATTAAAAATAATTATTAAAAAATAACAACATGCCATAATAAATTTTTAGTAGAGTGTCCACAACCAAAGAAAAATAGTAAAAATAGAATAAAATAGAATACAAATAGAAAGAAATAGAAAAAAATAGTAAAAATTAGTAAAAATAGTTTATAAGATTTGAAAGAAAGATATAAAATTATTTTTGAAAAAAATTAAACTATATTATAAAAATTTTGTTTATTAAATTAGATTTGTTTTTGTTGATTTACTTTCAATGCAGCAATTTTTAAGAGCATAAAGTTTGAGAAGAATTTTTGCAAAATCTATTGAAGTTACATAAAAATATTATATGACAAAATTATCAAAAAATTTTTGAGTTAAAAATGTTTCGAATAAAACTTTACTCTAAATTCAATAATTAACGAGATTTTTAACAAAAACTGATTACTTTGCCATTGAGGTTCTAAGAATTTTTTATAATTTAGTTTATAATATTTTGGGCAAGTTTTAGGCAAAAACCGTCAAAGTTACATAATTATGTAATATAAAAATTTTGTGAAAAATTTAATGAATAATAAATGCTTAAAATAAAACTTTGTTCTAAATTTACTAGTTTTTAAGATTTTGACCCTTGACTCTTGCAAGGCCTTCAGATTTTACTAAATATGAATACAAAAGATTATAAATTTTGAAGCAATTTTTTGCAAAAATCGTTAAAATTACAAGAATATATTGGATAAAAAATTTGTGCAGTATTTAATGTGGAAAAAGTGTTCGGATTACAACTTTGTTGTAGATTCAATGATTAACGAGATTTTTAACAAAAACTGATTACCCTGCCATTAAGGTTATAAAAAATCAGGGCAAATTTTCATAATTTTTTTTGGCAAGTTTTAGACAAAAACCATCAAAGTTACATGATTATGTTATATGAAAATTTTATGAGAAATTTTATGAATAATAAATGTTTCAAATAAAACTTTGTTCTAAATTTACTAGTTTTTAAGATTTTGATCTTTGACTCTTGCAAGGCTTTCAGATTGCTCTATACATTAGTTTATAACTTTGGAAACCAATTTTTGCAGAATTGGTTGAAGTTACAAAAATTTGTTATATGGGAAATTTGTGAGGAATTTCATGTGGAAAAAGAGTCCTGAATACAACGTTGTTGTAGATTCAATCATTTGCGAGATTTTAAACAAAAACCGTTTGTATAAACCGAAACACTTTTAAAGTTTCAGCCAAGTTTTAGTAAAAAATAAAATTCCCAAATTCAGCCGTTTAAAATTCCCAAAAATGGTGTAAGACATTTTTATGTAAAGTTTAATCAGCTACAAATATAATATTAAGCTAAATCCTACAGGTTTTTGAATTTTGCCCAAAAACCGCATCTCAGTATTGCTCCAAAATTCCAAACCACATTTTGACAAACATAAACTTCAAATTAATTTTCCTACAAAACTATCAACTGTAGACAAATATTTTATATGACAAATTTGTTGCAAATTTAGTCACGAATAAAAAAGTCTAAGACATTAATTAGATACATCTATTAGTTTTCAAGATTTTCTCAAAAAACGCGTAATAGACAGTTGCCCAAAATACCTAAATTGCTTCAAAATTCCAATCCACAATTTTCGTAAACGTAAATTTCGAAATAATCCTACAAAACAATCATTAATTTTCAAGATTTTCTCAAAATACACGTGAAAGACACTCGCCTAAAAAATACCAAAATTGCTTAAATTTCAAATTAATTTTTCTAAAAAACTATCAACTGTAGACAAATATTTTATATGACAAATTTGTTGGAAATTTAGTCACCAATAAAAAAGTCTAAGACATCAATTAGATACAACCATTATTTTTTCGAAATTTTCTTAAACAAACGCCTAAAGTCCATAACTCTACTTCTATACTAATTTACATCTAGTGCTGCCTCTCATCGACCACCAGCTCCAAAAATTCAAAGTCGTTTTATTCAAAACTTTTATATCGGAGTGTATAAAAGTGTTCCCTAGAAAATGTTGTAAATTGTATCTAGTTTCACCCTATCTAACTGAAAAAGGGTGGTTTCATATGAAATTTTTGAGATATGTGACAAAAACCAAAAAAAAATGTCCCGATTTTCCTAGATTTATTGCGTAATGGACACTCGCCTAAAATCCCTAAATAAGTAAATATCAATAACTATATTTCTATCCTAATTTATACCTAATGCTGCCTATCATCGTCCACCAGCTCCCTTATTTTTTGTTCCTGAGGTGGAGGAACTTCTTTATGTCCCCAAGTCGAATGTGAACCATCCCCATGTTTGATGGCAACATTTTTTACCAATTCTTTAGAGGGTTGTTTCCTAAAAAAAACAAAAATTGGTAAAATTTTCTGGTGTTTTGAGGTATTTTTTTTTATTTCTTACATGTCGTAGGCCCAACCAAGTTTGGCAAAGACATCTAACCAGACAGTGGTGATGTTGATGGTGTAGGGCATTTCAGCAGCCTTGTAATCCCAAGGGAAAACGTGGTGATAATTGTGCCAACCTTCGCCCATGGCGAAGAAGGACACAAGTTTGTTCTCCACTGGATTAATTCGACTGAAAAAAAAAAAGTGAAATGAAGAAAAAAAATCATGTTTTCTATATGGGTGTTGCATCCTTAGTGAAAGAGTTAAAACAGCAAATCGTGATTAACACAGTTCGATGGCAAATTAAAAATGTTATATAAGCGACTTTTTGAATTTCTAAAATATCTCAAAGCGTTCTCGAGATATTGCATTTTTAAACATTTCGATTTCGCAGGATCCATATTGATTCTTTACAACTTATAAAATTTGCAAAGTGTAAAAATGCAATTTTATAAAAACCATTGCAGATATTTTGGTGAATCAAAAAGTTGTTCTAAAAGCATTTTTAATTTGCCATCGAATAGTAATACTCTTGATTTCCAATTTTCACTAATTCATTAAGAATATACATTATGCAAGAATAAATCTTCAGGATTTGAGAAATAGTTAACAATTCAAGTTTATAGTATGTATCTTTATAGTTAATTTATATATTTTTAAAGTTATTTTTTCATTACCGATTGTGTTATTTGATGCTGTCTATATGAGTGTGCAAATTAATGTTGCATTCTTAGTGAAAGAGTTAAAACAACAAATCGTGATTATGACAGTTCGATGGCAAATTAAAAATGTTATATAAGCGACTTTTTGTATTTCTAAAATATCTCAAACCGTTCTCGAGATATTGCATTTTTAAACAATTCGATTTCGCAGGATCCATATTGATTTTTTACAACTTATAAAATTCGCAAAGTGTAAAAATGCAATGTTATGAAAACTATTGCAGATATTTTGGTGATTCAAAAAGTTGTTCTAAAAGCATTTTCAATTTGCCATCGAATAGTAATACTCACGATTTCCAGTTTTCACTAATTTATCAAGAATCTACATTATGCATAAATAAATCTTCAGTTCAGATCTAATTTTTACATACTTCAGTATTTTGTATATTTATTTTTGTAGATTATTAGAAAAATTATTCATCAAACACGTGTTTGATTTTTTTGCGAATGACGATCTTGAAAAAATCCGGATTTTTCTGCAAAATTGTAAGATAATAATAATCGTAAGATTGCGAACATTTTGCAATAACAAAAAATATAAAAAATAATCTACGAATTATCGTAGTATTAATCAAAAGTTTTTATTTTTGGCGAATATAAAAATAAAAAGCTTGTGACAGACTGTAATTTTAATATATATATATATATATATATTATTTATCTAGTTTATACTATATTATAATATATATTTATCTAATATATATTATTTATCTAGTTTATACCTTTGACACCGTCGAGATAAATTAAATGATATAATGATAAATTTTATCCAAAATCTTAATCTGTCGGATAACTTTTATCTAACAAATAAGATAAGTTATCTGACGAATTGTAAGATAAATCCTTCAATTTAAAGATTGACGCCGCAAAATTAAAAATACATGTGATGAATGAAATTGCACGATTTTGTGAGATAAAATTTGTTTTCATTAACAATGATAATTGTTTGATGCAATTGATAATTATATATATATATATATATATATATATATATATACTAGCAATCCCGACGAACTCCGTTTCGCCACCAGATGGTTTCGTGAGAAAGATGAAGAAATTTTTTGTTTGTTTTATATTTGAAAAGGAAAAATGTGATTTTATTATACAACAGTAATGAATTTATTTCGATTACAAAAATGAAGTGTTTTTTAGTTGAACTTCTCTAAGTAAATGAAAGTGAATCCGCAAATTATCCGTTTCATTGAAGTGCTCTTTGGTAAACCACATTTTTTGTTTTTTGGTGTTACGTTAACACAAACAAAGCGGATGGTTTTCCAACTCGTGAACAGGCAACGCATAACTGCCCATGTGAAAAACAATGATTTTCTAAATAATCTATTTGAAATTTATCTCGCAAACACTAAGCGATTGGCCTCGCGACTTGTTATTGCGAACGCAAGGAAATTGCAATCGTTTGAAGTCAAACGGAAGACCAGTCGGAATCATTGGTATGTCACCAAATCGCCAGCAATTGTTGATTGAATAGTGAAATTCAGTGCGTGTATATCATTATTCTTTGCGGCAAGAATTGTTCGTTGACTTAACCAAGCATAATTCTGATAATTCTTACTAATGTCATTACTCGAATTTTTAATTACGGTGCGTGAAGTTCCAGCAATTTGCATTAAGGCACGATGCCATGCACAACTAATTTTCTTAGCTATAAACCTTGCAGAGCCCGAGACCTTTCCGACGAATGCAAAATTGTCGAATTCGGTTCGTGCGTTCTGGAGTTATATCGTCAGGGTGGAAAACCCGACTTATTTATATATATATATATATATATATATATATATATATATATATATTCTACTCACTTGTCATATGGTCTATGTCCATACAAATGTGCAAAACTGTTGACAGACCAAGTGAAATTCAGGCTGCAGGCATATCTGATCAGGCACTGAACACAAAACGAAAAGTACCATTCTTCTCCCCAACAATACACAGGAATTACTGTTGGAATTATAAAGCAGAACAGGAACTTCAGCACCCAGAAGTACCTAAAAAATTATAAATGTTGTAAATTTTATCTAGTTTCACCCTGTCTAATTGAAAAGGGGTAGTTCCATATGAAATTTTTGAGTTATTAGACAAAAACCAAAAAATGTCCTAAATTTTCCATATTGATTGCTTAAGAATGAAATATCGAATTCAAAGTCGTTTTATTCGAAACTTTTATATTGGACTGAATATAACTGTTTATATAAAAATGTTGTAAATTTTATCTAGTTTTTGTAGTACTAATAAAAAATACAGTCCTTGATACAAAAATTTTGAGATATTTAAAAAAAAAGGTAGAAAAACGTCCCGAATTTTCATTGCATTTTTTTAAATTTTGATTTTAAAGTTATTTTATAAATAATAATATATTCTTGGCTAACTCGTAAAAATTGGAAATTGTGAGTGTTACTATTCGATGGCAAATTAAAAATGTTCCTAAAACAACTTTTTGAATCACCAAAATATCTGCAATAGTTTTTACAAAATTGCATTTTTACACTTTGCGAATTTTTTAAGTTGTAAAAAAAACAATATGGATCCTGCGAATTCGAAATGTTTAAAAATGCAATATCTCGAGAACGCTTTGAGATATTTTAGAAATTCAAAAAGTCGCTTATATAATACTTTCAATTTGCCATCGAACTGTGTTATTTACGATTTGCTGTTTTAACTCTTTCACTAATAATGCAACATTAATATGCATACTCATATAGAAAGCATCAGATAACACAATCGGTAATGAAAAAATAAGAATGAAAAATCGAATTCAAAGTCATTTTAATCAAATATTTTATATCGGAGTGTATAAAAGTGTTTCCTAGGAAATGTTGTAAATTTTATTCTAGTTTATTCTAGTTAATTGACAAAAATCAAAAAAATGTCACATATCAAAGAATATATTAAATAAATAAAATACAAAAAATAAATATTTAAACGAGTAATTAGACCTTGAATGTCGGTATGCATTAGCCTAACAATTGATCAAATTTAATCAAACTTGGTTTCCAAAAATTTTTAAGACCACGCGATTTATACTACATAGCTAAAAATTTAATATGTTACACTTTATTATATGTACTAAATTAGTAAATACAAAATTATACATATTTTGGAGGAAAAATTAAGTAATTAGACCTAAAATTCACAATTTTTATATTTTAAATAAAACTTAAATTTATTTAATTTGCTTCCCAGAGTATAAAAGTGTTCCCTAGGAAATGTTGTAAATTTTATCTAGTTTCACCCTATCTAACTGAAATTCATATGAAATTTTTAATTTATTTGACAAAAACCAGAAAAATGTCCCGAATTTTTTAATAATTGTGCTAAATAATCAAATATCAAATTCAAAGTCGCTTTATTCAAAACTTTTATATCAGACTGTGTAAAAGTGTTATATAGGAAATATTGTAAATTTTATCTAGTTTCACCCTATCTAACTGAAAATGTAAAATATTTTTAAAAATATGTTTAACTTTTAAATTAATAAACTTATTAATAACTTCAATCGTTACTTTACTAAATTAGTAAATTTTCCATAATTTTTAACACTCTGCACTTATACTCAAAATTGATTATAAAGTTTGGATTCTCAAAACAGCAACTTGTTGATAGGTTTTATATACACAAAATATTTTTAAAATAACTTTAAATTTCAAACTACTAAATTTATTAGTAATTTCAATATTTCCCTAAATTAGTAAATTTTTGGTAATTTTCAAAAATTTTGCACTCATGCAAACAAGTCTCATAATACTACTAGAAAGTAGTTGCAAAGTTTGGATGCACAAAACAGCAACTTGCCGATAGGTTTTTTATGAACAAAATATTTTTAAAAATTAAAAAAAAATAGTTAAAAATATCTTTAATTTTCAAACTACTAAATTTACTAGTAATTTCAATATTTTCTTAACTAAATTAGTAATTTTTGGTAATTTTCAAAAACTTTGCACTCATGCAAACAAGTCTCATGAAACTACTATTAATTAGTTGCAAAGTTTGGATTCTCAAAACAGCAACTTGCCGATAGGTTTTATGTACACAAAATATTTTTAAAAATAACTTTAACTTTCAATTTAAACTACAATAATTACAAACTACAATTTTACTAGTAATTTAAATATTTTCTTAACTAAATTAGTAAATTTTTGTTAATTTTCAAAAATTTTGCACTCATGCAAACAAGTCTCATGAAACTACTAGAAATTAGTTGCAAAGTTTGGATGCACATAACAGCAACTTGCCAGTAGGTTTTGTATGAACAAAATATTTTTAAAAATATCTTTAACTTTTAAACTAATCAACTTATTAATAATTTCAATCATTACTTTACTAAATTAGTGAATTTTCCATAATTTGTTATACTC